GGGGGGGGGGGGGGAAGGAGATTTTCAAGCTCTCTGTAATGATTAAGTTGCGGGGAAAAAATTGTAAATCCACAGCAGAGGTTAGGTTTTTGGAGCATTCAATAGGTACTTATCATTTACAGTTTTTTGGTTTAAGACTCGCGGCTTAGACGAAGCAATATATGAGGCAAGGTAAATTGAGAATGGGCTGCCAAGTTTTTAACTTCCCAATCCCCATACCTTTCCTCAGGAAAAGGAGGCGGAATGGTAATGAAGAAGATGGCCACATCCCACAGACTAAGCGTAGTACCAGAAACGCAGTCCTTCAGGACTCCTGGGATACAGAGGTGAGATGCTTCCTGGTCTGCTTCAGGGTTTTGCTTAAGCTGGAACTGAAGTAATAATTGGCATGTGCATAATTCTGCTTATGGGGAAAAATCACTCGCTCAAATGTACAAATACCTCATACATGAAACTCTTGAGCCTGGGCACAGCGTTGTGCTTCAAGTACTGGATTTTCTTCCCACGGTTTGGAAATCAGCATGTTTTCCATTTCAGTTGGTAACCTTTTACATGAATGAATGTTTTCACATATCTGATATTCCATAATTCACTTACTTGTGCAGCCACTGCATTATGCTGGCAGCAGAGAGACTTTCCCTGCCCCCCAGGGACTGAGTTTTGGGTATAGCAAAACAAGAAAGATAATAAATGGATTACAGGAGCGTGTGACTGCTTTCATCTGGCTGTGTACACTTCCAACTTCCTTTACTTGTTACTAACTAAAATGAATTAATTGATAATAGAAACTTCCATGTGCTAATAGTTCTGTAATGTTGGTAACTGTGATAGGGCTCCTTGTAAGCAATAATGCTAGATTGCTGTTTGCAGAGTACAGTATTGATGCTAAGTGTTTTTACTCTTGAGAGTCTTGTCTTTAATGCAGGAGTTGTGAGCTCTCTGGATTTTGCTCTGCTGGGCTTTTGTGTGTCTGTGTGTGCGAGAGAGACAATTGATAACCTCCTAAATTCCCAGTTTCTTAGTTGTCCCTGCCTGTAAAATGGGGGATTTTTAACTTGCAGGTATTTTAAGACTGGGGATCTAATCTTTGCTGAAATTAAAAAGTTCCCGTGGATTTCTTGCAGAGCCACTGGCCGCATCATATACAAGTAATGTTTATGGTACTCCTTGATCCTTATATGGAAAGAGCCATGCAAGGATAGAGAGTTGATTTCCTACTTTTGAAACCTTTGGGGAAAAATCCTTATTTCCAAACTGTGCTTTGTGTCCAGTGCTGCTTACATTGTGCTCACTGACACTGAAAAGTTGGTGTTTGTACTCTTGAGTTGCAGTGATTGACTGCAAACTTAGAAATAAGTGGTGCAAGAGGAGATTCCTTCAGACCTTGTCTTTCAGGAAGTTAAAATGAGATGGCTTTGTATTAGGATTTTTCAATATATGTACATAACCCCCACATTTCTAGAGAGGCATGTTGCTAAAAACGGATGGAGGAGTCTCTCTCTGAAAATTAGTGGCTGGTGTAACAGACCATGGTATTGTGTATAGGGATGAAATTGCCCTTTGGTTCTGGGATTTAATGGGCAGAGCAAAAAAAACAGCTGCTTCCTGTCTGAGACTGAATTATGTGTCAAACAGGTTATAAACATCACTTGACATGTATGGAGTAGTTGATAGTTAAACAAGATTTGTGGCAGGAGGGGGAAGAACTTAGTGTGGAACAAGGGATTGAACTAAGAGTACTGAAACTTAGAATTTCAGGAAAAACCTTCTGAAACACCTTTGCTTGTCATTTAAACACTTAACATTGGATTTGGCAACTAGTAAATTCACAGAAATGGGAACAACTGAGTAACTGTGTAGAGTGAGTAGATGCTCTAATAAAGCCTTTCTGTGCAGCTGCTGATTCTCTGAACTGTCTGCACATTGGAAGCATGGGCGTGAACCTTGGGTGATGGTTTTCCTGCCTGCTGTGCCCTCAGTGAAATCGAACTGAAATCAAATTGCTTTATCTAACATTGAGCCTACCATTTTGTGCATGCACCTGCATTGCCAGAGTCTGTCTTTAACAAATTAAAATGCACTGATGTGCAGAAAAAGTAGAATCTCATCTTGCTGATGTTGTACTGGGGGGAGTGTTCCTGCTGGGCATGGAGTTAAAAACATCAGTGGTATTTATGCCTGTAGGATCTAGACTTCACAGTGAGTGCTGCTGCTGCATATAGTTTTTGCAAGAGCTGACTTTTCATGCTTTACTTTTCCTTCTTGCTGGTCTCATCTTTGATCACTGAATCAAGCATGCCCTGAAACTAAATGATGAGATTAAATCAATATTTTTCCAGAGGCTTTTAAAAAATTTTCCATGCCAAATAGTTAAATTCTTCTGTCTGTGGTGCATGAACATGCTGTTCATACTGCTTTGAAATTGCTGACTGTGTGTAACCTCTCTGCTTCATAATTGCAAAGTACAGAAACAAGGCAGCTCTCCTTCAGAACTTTAGATCAGCTTCAGGGTATTGGAGGTGATGGGTAAATGTAAATGCATAATTAAAATGAAATTATAAATAAGTAATTGTGACTTTCCTCTCCCTCCCCTTTCTTGGGTTAAAAAATAACTTTCTTCTGTCTTTTAGGCATCCTGTTGAGTTTGATTTCTCTAAAGGCAGACCATGAACTTGAAAATCTGTTTATCTGGAAATGTCATACCCTATAATAGTACAAATAATAGTTAAGGATGGTAGGATATTTGCTTTATGCACTTGACAGTAATTTACATGTTGTGTTTAGGTGGCATTCTTCTTTTAAAAAAAAATTTTTTTTATATACAGCATTAATATTTGTTAGTGACAGTTCACAGATGGGGCATTGACTTGTGACTCTAAGTAGCCCTCATGTATTGGGCAGTTTTTATCTCATTGCCTGCGTGAGCTAGATTCAGTCCAGAAATCTTCATTCTTTTTCCCCAAAGCTCTTCCCCCACACCGTAGACAACATGCTTGATATTTTGACTAGATCCTCCAGCCACCAAAATTGGGATTCTTGTCAGCACCTATCAGTTCTGCTCATTGCAGGGTTGTTTGATCCATAAACGTACATTTGAAATGGCCATGCTGCAGCTCCTGGATATGTTAAACCTTGACAGGGGCCACACATTGAATGTTCACCACAACATTTCCAATCTACTTTGGCCCTCACCTTTTCCAAGACATGAGCTTGGTGTGGTTGGTTTTGCTGTAAATGTCCATTTATAGGTTAACAATTCTGGTTCTGTCTTCAAACGCATATGTGCAAATGTCTTGTATTCCTCTGCTACAGCATATGTGGATCTGCATAGAACCGTAGCAGCTCTGAGAAGGTGCCAGCTGACAAGTATCTTTGCAGCATTGCTAGATGGAGCTTTTATCCACCAACAGAATCAGCAAGGAGAGCTGCTAAGAACTTTTTCCTGGGGATGGATGGGGATCTTCATTGCCTTGCCTGACTAATATTTTTCCTTCCTGAATAACCTTTTCTTACTTAACCCTGTTTCCACAGGCTCCAGTGTTATTAGTTAGCCCAAGTCAGGACAGGAAATCACTTCTCACTAGCTGAGTGTGTTACGGTTGTGTTGGAGCAGGTGCCTGCTCTCAAACTGAATGTGGCTCTTCTGCTCAGGTCCCCACAAGTAGTACCATGGTGACAGAAGTCGCTGCAGCTCTTCAGTGCAATGTCTTAAACTGAATCACAGTGTCTGGGGTCTAAGTCAAGTAAAGTTTGAGGCTACGTAACAAAGGAGCAGAATAAGCTAAAGCTTTGAAGTGGCTTCACCTACCTTCAAGGGTTGCTAGTGTAATTGTGAGTCTAATTTATAAAGGTTTTTTTTTTATAATAGACAGTGGTCAGGCCTGCAGTATGACATGGAAAGTAAAGGGCTTCACATACCCTTTGTGAATTTTTGCACCTGAGCAGAAGTGGCTTGAGATCTGCTTGGATCTAATAGTCAACAGCCTTAGAAGTAGGAAACGCGTCCCAGGACACAATCTCTTCTGCACTTTCCTCTCTCAGCTGGAACGAGAAAGCTTTTGGCTGTAGAAAGTGAGCATCATACTACTGGTGGCTCTAAACTGTTTGTTCTGTTGCAGCTTGAAATTCTTGCGTTGACTAATTACTGATACTAGTTTTTACCTTCATTTGCAGAAGGTGCCTGTAACGAAAAACAGTAAAGAAACCAGACTAAAAGGAAACAAAGTGTCCTGTGCGGTGGGTTTCTCTCCAAGGCTGCTGTAATTTGCCCCGTGTAACAGTGTTGCATTTTAATTGTGTACATCATGAAAAATGAGGTGCTAGCGCAAACATGCCTTAGTGGATGCCCCTTCCTCAGGCAGTCTCCTCTATAGTGCCGGTAGGATGAGCAGCCAGTCACTCATACACTATTTTATGTATTTATTTTGCTTCTAACTTACCCAGGCAAGTCAAACTTTGTCAGTGTTCTTGCACTGATTTCAGACTCAACAGGTGTCAGCCCCCAGCTTTTGTTTTCTTCCTTGTTATTACAGGTGGACTATAAAGGTGTGTTTAAAGAGCAAAAGTGAAATCCCACATGCTTCTAGGTGGGACCCCAGTGATGTACTGCATAAATTGGTGTTCTGGGTCTCAGTCCAATAGCAGGCTCTGAAATGGCTTGATTGAGCACCTCTCATTTGGACTGGGCCATGTCAGTGGCTTCTGGTGCAATGTGAAATTCATGGACCGGCACTGCTGCAGAGCTTGGCGCAAACTCTACTGCGTGGATGCCACTTTTCTTCAGTAGATGTTTGTCCAAAGATGATGCAGTGAAGCTTTGACTTTTGAGGTCTCAGACTCCTAGTAGCTGTATCTTACTGGTCATGATTGTTAAATTGCAGTTGCCGACTCTAAAGAAATTGCCCTGCAAACACATTTATTATAAAGCCTGGCTGCCAAGACAGGCATCTAGATGATGGACCCTCCCCATGGAAGTCAAAAACGGCCTTTATAATCAAAGCCCTGGGCAACTGGTGCCTCCTGAGTCAGGAGCACCAGATTGCTGACGGGGGCAGGGGGTGTTCCCGAGTGGCCAGCTGCCCAGCCCGGAACCACCGGCAGTGAAACCAGAAGTGAACTTCTGCCAGCACTTCTGGTTTTGCAGCTGGCATTTCCAGCTCCCGTGTGCGCCCCGTACACATCACCAATGATCAGAGCAAAGCTGGAGGGAGCTGTACTTGCCTTGCAAACATCTCTTCATTGAATTGGGCCAAATGTAACATATTCCCATGTCCAGGAGCATATTTGTGGTTAAAAAAACCTCTTGCCTCTTCAGGGAAAAAAAAGAGTGTTTTATTGATCTTGGAAGATTTTTTGTAACTGATAATCGTCCATTTGTTTGAGCTAGCTGTCCTGCAAGTTTTGAATTCACATTAGCTAATTAACTAGTCACTTTCTCATAGGCCTGTGACATCCTGCAACATCCTAAATATTGCGTGAGAAGAGCACAACAGAGGAAGTGTTTTGACTGCAGCTAAAAAAAACAAATGATGAAACCTCTTACTAGCTCTCCTTAATTTAGTTTAGCCAAAGTCACCTTATGTCTCTTGGAAACGTCAGAAGACAAGCTTAAATATGAGTGGCTGATGAGTGCTTCTGTGGTGCCTGTTATAAAACATGCAGATGCTTAAACTCTGGCAGCAGGACACTGTTGTCTTGTGCAAGCTAAATCATGAGTTCAGCCCTCACTGTCGCATGCAAAGTTGTTTTAGTGGCTTGCACTCTAGCAGCCTTGAGACTGGTGTAATCGCTGGGTCAATCTTTCTCACTGCAGTGCAGTGTTGTGATGCAGAAAGCCTGACATCTACCTTGCTGATGCAAAGTGGAAACGTGCTGCAAGGATGCCGTGTGGTGTTGCGGTGCTCACTGCCCCACACGGGCGAGCATCCTGTTGTGGCGTTTGGCACCTTGTCTCACTTTGGAAGCTCCCTGTGTCTTGTGCTATTCTACGAGTACTGACTGGGTGATGCACCGTGCTTAGTCTGAAAGTGGTTATTTCAACAGTTCTTGTCACCTACTCCAAGTCTTTTTGCCCTGCTGCACTAACACAACTTAACTGGAATCATGGCTCTCCCTCCCGTCCCCCCCCCCCCCCCCCCCTTTTTCCCCCCAACATTTTA